GACGTGAGGCAAATCGGGCTCCACATCGAGCCGCATCGCCGATGCATCGGCGGTGCGGCGCGATCCTCCGACCCCATCTACTCCGACCCCATCCAGGAGGCCCAGAGTTGCGCCATGGGGGGAGGGCGATAGACCCAACGATCCAACGCACTGACAACAACAAAAAAAACAAAGACGGACGCTTTCCGCCCCTTTCGGCCTCCCCAGACCCCCGACGTCATGATTTCTTCATGACGTCGACCCCCAGAGGTCCGGACCCATTCCCCGGGACCGGCTTTTCGTCCTGAGTCGTTTTTTGACGCTCCCGAGGCCCGGTGAGGGCCCCCGGAGGCCGAAAATAATGAAAAACCTCCCGTCGTGATTTTTTCATAACTCGAGGGGGTCTGGGTCTGGGGGCCCTCGCCGGGCTCCCGCACCGTCCAGCAGCGACCTCGCGACGGAACCCCGGCCCCAGGAAAAGGAGCCCAGAGCTCCGGGAACCCCGCATTACCCAGAGATCCGACGTCATGCTTTGTTGAACACGGGGTCCCCGGCAGTCTCGACCCCTTCCCCGGGACCAGTTTTTCGTGAGTCGTTCCCAGACCCCCTCGAGTTATGAAAAAATCATGACGGGAGGTTTTCCTTCATTTTCGGCCTCCGGGGGCCCTCACCGGGCCTCGGGAGCGTCAAAAAACGGCTCAGGATGAAAAGCCGGTCCCGGGGAATGGGTCCGGACCTCTGGGGGTGGCGTCGTGAAAAAATCATGACGTCGGGGGTCTGGGATACGGGGTCCACAGCAATCTCGACCCCTTCCCCGGGACCAGTTTTTCGTGAGTCGCTTTTTGGCAAATCCCCGGGCCCGGCGAGGCCCCCCATGGAAGCCGAAAATTGCGAAAAACCTCCGTCTTGAGTTGTCCAATACGCCGGGTCTCTGGGGAAGAGCACCGAGGCAGCACATCGGAGGTCTAAGAACGGGGGCGGGGGGGGGCGAAGAACCGTGCCCCTCCCGTGCCCCTTCTCTGGGGGCCCCTTGGGGCCCCGAAGGGTCCACGCAAGCTGCGTCCCCAGAGATCCGACGTCGTGATTTCTTCAATCCCAGAGATCCAACGCATTGAACAAAAATCAAAACGGAAATTAGCTTGCAAATTTTGGCCTCCCGGGGCCCTCGTTGGGCCCAGGGACAATCAACAAATGACCCGGGACGAAAAACTGGTCCCGGGGAAAGGGTCTGGACTTCAGGAGACCCCGTGTTAAAAAAATCACGACATCGGATCTCTGGGTATACGGGGTCCCTGGAAGTCTCGACCCTTTCCCCGGGGCCGGTTCTTTTCGTCCTGAGTCGTTTCTTGACGGCCTTGGCGCCCTGCGAGGGCCCCGAGAGGCCAAAAACCGCGGAACACCTCCGGCTTGATTTTTTCAACGCGGGGTCCCCTGGGTCTCTCCCCAGACCCCCGACGTCATGATTTTCTCCTGACGCGACCCCCAGAGGACCGGACCCCTTCCCCGGGACCGGCTTCTCATCCCGAGCCGTTTTTTGACGGGCCCGAGGGCCGGTGAGGGCCCCTGGAGGCCGAACATAGCGAAAAACCTCGCGCCGTGACTTTTCCATGGCTCCAGGAGGTCTGGGTGTCTCCCGTGGAGGAGGAGGAGGAGGAGGAGGAGGAGGAGGAGGAGGAGGAGGAGGAGGAGGAGGAGGAGGAGGAGGAGGAGGAGGGAGGAGGAGGAGGAGGAGGAGGAGGAGGAGGAGGAGGAGGAGGAGGAGGAGGAGGAGGATGGGCCCCCCCGTTGCGCCACGCCCGGGGCGCCAGGTGGCCCGCAGCCGCGCGCCCCCGCACGGCCGCAGGCAGCCGCGGCCGCCGTGCCAGACCCCGTCCAGCGCCCGGACGCCCCGACGGCCCTCGCGAGCGCTCGGCGGCGCCGACGTGCGGTGCACGCCGTCGGAGGAGGAGTGAGGAGGAGGAGGAGGAGGAGGAGGAGGAGAGGAGGAGGAGGAGGAGGAGGAGGAGGAGGAGGAGGAGAGGAGGAGAGGAGGAGGATGGAGGAGGAGGAGGAGGAGGAGGAGGAGGAGGAGGAGGAGGAGGAGGAGGAGGTCTAGCTGTCCCGCGTGCAGTTTCTTTGGCTTCGCGCGTGCTGCGGCGGCCAGCCCCGAGCCAGACCCCCTCGAGTCATGAAAAATTGCGACGGAAATTTTTCGTTATTTTGTTCGCCTCCGGGGGCCCTCACCGGCCCTCGGGAGCGTCAAAAAACGGCTCGGGAGGAAAAGCCGGTCCCGGGGAATGGGTCCGGACCTCTGGGGGTCGCGCCATGAAAAAATCATGACGTCGGGGGTCTGGGGAGCCAGAGTGGAGTGGTGGCAGCTGGAGTCGGGGATCAGAGTGGGAGGAGCACGTGGAGCCGGAGTCGGGGAAGGCCTTCTCGGACGGCTCGGAGGTCCTAGGGCCCTCCGAGGAGTGTCCCGAGGCTTCCCCGGAGAGACACCGAGACAACTTCTCAGAAGCAGCGAGGGCTTCCGAGAAACCTCGCAGCTTGCGGAGAAGACCTTCTCATCTTCTCACTTCCCCCCCTCGCTCGCCGACGAGTGTTTTTTGTCCTCGCAAGAGGATCCATGATGTTCCAGGGAGCCCACCAAGGACATACGCGCCCAACTACGTACATGAGCACGGCCCCTCGATCCGCGAGGCCGACCGCATGATACGAACATCCGCGCAATGCGTACTGTCGAAACCAGCGTGGACTCATATACCCCAGAGTGCCTTCGCAGAGTGTCTTCGCAGATCCGACATGCAGCCATGTCGCCTGGGCCCCGGCATGCGGCTGTACAGTCAACCCGCATCAGAAGGACGGGCAACCTTCCCAAGGGTACCCTTGCATCCTTGCCTCCTCGGTCCATCCTTGGCCAATCTTGCTGGCCGCGCCCCGCTCGCAACGCTTCGACAATAGCCTTCCAAGGCCTCTGCATCCTTCCCGTGCGCCCTTAATATACAGGTCGGCTGTATACCCAGAGGTCCGACGTCGTGATTTTTTCAACACGGGGTCCCCGGAAGTCCCGCCCCTCTCCCCGGGACCGGCTTTTCGTCCCGAGTCGACTTTGGCGGTCCCGGGGCCCTTGTAGGGCCCCGAGAGGCCAAAAACCGCGGAAAACCTGCGGCTTGATTGTCTCAAGGCGTTGGATCTCTGGGTACGTGTGTGTCCTTCTCTCGCTCCTGATCGACGGCCCTCGCCGCACAAAAGAGCGCACGCGTCCGAGCCATGCCGAGCGCCCGGTGGCGGCGCCCGCGCGCTTGCGGGGCCGCCGAGATCGACCCCCGCCGGCTCTCGACGCGTACGACGCGGGCGGCACATGCTGCTGCAAAAGGACAGGCCCAGGGGCACACAAACGATTGGACACAGATCATTCTCTTCATCCCCCTCGTCCTCCTCCTTCTCCGTGTCCTCCTCCTCCTCCTCCTCCTCCTCCTCCGCGTCCTCCTCCTCCTCCTCCTCCTCCACCTCCTCTTCCTCCTCGCCCTCCAGCTCCTCTTCCTTCTCCGGATCTTCGTCCTACTCCTCCTCCTCCTCCTCCTCCCCCTCCTCCTTGACATCCTTTGCAGGGTCGGCGGAACCAAAGTCCTTAGATATTCCTCTACTTTCTGGAATTACCTCCCCCCCACGTCCCACATTTTCCCATATCGCTCCGGGAATCAAGGATTACGTGTGTCTGTGCTGTTTTTTGTCCCCTCCGGGGTGAATTCGCGATGCCGCGCCCCGGTCTTGCTCCGAGGCGCGTGCGGATCGCCTCTGCCGCGCTGCGACGGAAAAGTTGCTTCCCCTCCCGACACTGGTGGCGCAGAACGAAGCTCGGCGGCGAGCCCGGCGGGAAATGAGAAGGAGAAGACCTCCTCAAGATGCTCGGAAGTCCCCCGGCCTTCCGCGAAGTTTTCTGAGCCTGCCCCGAAGACCCGCCAACACTTTTCGGAAGGCGCGAGGGCTCCCGAGAAGTCCTGCTGCCATCTGAGGAGGCCTTCTCTCCTCCTCCTCCTCCTCCTCCACCACCTCCTCCTCCTCCTCCTCCTCCTCCTCCTCCTCCTCCTCCTCCTCCTCCTCCTCCTCCTACTCCTCTTATTCTGATTATGAATGCCCCCCCGCGCTCGCCGCCGAGGGGCAACGCGCGCGTCGGGCCGCCAGCGCGCCCAGCAGGGCCGTCGGCATGTTGCGGCAAGCGTGGGCGGCCTGCTGCTCCGCCGGGTAGCAGGTCTTCGGCAGCGGCCCCACGCCGCGGGGCCGGCGGGAGCAAGAGGGGTCGGGCAGCCCCTCGGAGGCGACGACCGGGGCGAAGAGCCCAGGGGGAGGGGGGCAACACGTGAATACAGGGGCGCCCATGATCCATGTCTTCCGCGAGGCTCCCGGAGGGGCACGTGTGATGAACTCCCCTGGGCCATTCGCCCCATACCGTCGCCTCCGAGACCCAGCAGGGGCGGGCACACTGCCCGCAGTGGCCGGCGGGCGCCCGGCGCCGAGGACATACCGCGGGCGGTCGGTCGGGGCGGTTCCGCGGAGACGGTCCTCCGACGTATATTGGTATTTGTTTTGTCAGTGCGGGATTCCCAGCAGAGCCCTCCTTGTGTTTTCTCGAGGTCCCCCAAGCTCTGGGCCACGTCCCGGGGGCGGCTCTTTCGCCACGGGCCGTTCCCTGGCGGTCCCTGGGCCCGGCGAAGACCCCAAGAGGACGAAAGCGACAAAGGCAACTTGTCATGTGTTGACCGATGTTTTCCAACACATCATATGCATATGCATCTCTCTCTATATATATAAATAAATATGTTTTACAAGCGCATCGACATATGCATCCATATATATGTGTGTATATATATATACATACGCATGCGTATGCATACACATACACATATACATATACATTTACAGTTGCACCTATACGAAAATAGCTATGCATGTTTATACATGTATATGTACACACAAACCTGCGTATGTGTGTGTGTGTGTGTGTGGGAGGTCTGGGGATGCATGTGGTGCTCTCGCCTGGGCTACCCGCTTCCTGTTGCAGCCGCCGAGCTGGCGGCGCAGTCCCCGGCGGCGAACACGACGCCGCGCCCCCACCGGACCCCCTTGCGCGTCACGACCTGGAGGCTCCTGTTCGTGAGGATCCAGCCCCCGCCGCCTGGCGAGGGGCAACATTGAAGGGGCCCTGGGACACAGAAACAAATACACACAAATGACAGGATTCCCCATATGGTTCTTATGTTTCCTGGGTTTTTGTCTTCCCCCCCACTTCCCATATTTTCCCACGTTTTCCTGGGGATCGACGATTCATTGTGTCTGCGTTTTTCCCCCTTCTGGAACATCGCGGGGGGAAACATCAGGCTGGAATCGGCGATATGTCGCGGATGGATCGGCGACAGGCCGCGGATGACGAGTCCTCGCGGTCCCGGGCGGGGTGGGCCTTCGGGCCCCTTTTTCGAGAGCAGTGGGCGAGTGGGGGTCGGTGCGTCCCTCCCCGCGCCTATCCCCGTCCGCGGTGGTTTTCGGTCTACAGTGAACTCGGGACTCTGGCGGCCATCCGAGGCGATCGAGGCACACCTGGAACGCTTTCGGCGAAGCGCAGCCGCTGGAAAGCATCCCGAGGCTGTCCCTAACCAGGGCCTCCCCCCCCTCCAACGTTGCCCCTGGCCTGGCCCCCGGTCGCTCAGCGTCTCCTTGGGCATGAAGTACGCCGAAGACCTGACGCCTGACAGAACGTACGTCCTGTCCGCGCCCTCTGGGAGGCCAACCCTCGTCCAGAACGCCCTGTCCTTCGGGTCGTACCTGAGGTCGTGGCCGTAAACTGTTCTGATGCCGACCCTTCGCATGTAGCCCTCGCAGTAGCTGGCGGCCTGCTCCGGCAGCGGCTCCAGGCACCGCTCCATGGAGTCGGCGACCGTGATGCAGAGGCCGGGCAGGTGGTGCTGTAGCTCGCAGGCGAACTCGACGCCGGTGTAGCCAGCCCCCACGATGAGCACGCTGCCTCTCCTCTTCGCGGGCCCAAAAAGGCATGAACATTACAGTGAGTGGGCCGAGCGATCTTACACCATCCCTGGGTGAATGGGTGAAGAGGGACTCCTTGGCCCGAATTCTACTTGCTTGTTGTTTGTTCTTGTTCCCGTCCGTCGCCCCCGCGACCCATCCGCCTCCCACCCGCGACCCACCCCGCGACCTACCCCTCGACCCACCCGCGACACATCCGCGACCCACTGGCGACCCGCCCCTCGACCCACCCGCGACCTACCCGCGACCCACCCCGCGCGCGCCCCCATCGCGCTTATCCGCTCCATCACGCTTATCCGCCACAATCACGCTTATCTGCTACAATCACGCATATCTGAGGCGCAAAACCTTCCCTTGTAAGAAGCAGGGTGCGAGCCCCAAGCGGGGCAATTCAATTGAACAACACAAGGTGCACTGGAGAGGGGAGGTCAGAAATGTTTACTTGTTGAAAATGAAAACTCGACATCAGTAACACGAATTGTCAGACAGCTTGCTCTTATCTGCCCGCGGGTCACTCGATAGGTCTATCCCAATCACTCGATCTCCGCTCTGTTCGTCTTCGATCATGCTCGAATTTGGGGTAATTCGTACTTACTTGTCACGTGTAGTTGGCGCAGCCCCTAAACAAGGAAAGTGAAGGAAGGGGGAAGGGACAAGGGGGAGAGGCAAGGATGGAACACGAGTGAGACTAGCGGGAGGCGGGCTAGGAGCACGAAAACACGCGGCAGAACCAGACGGGCGGGGCGGCCGTGCTGACACTAGCGGGCGGGTCGGGAACGCGGACCCAGACGGCCAGGTCGAGCGGGCATGTCGCTGAAGCATCAGTCGTGCGTGGATTGGGAGGACGTCTCGAACGATAGCGCGATTCCTGAATGTCGAGGGCGCGGCGTCTGAATAAATGAGCAGGGGATCCCGCGCGAGAGCGCGATCCCTGCGTAAATTATAAGGAGGTCCCTCGCGAGAGCACCATTTTGACTACACTGTCAGGAAATATCACAAAGAAAACGCTGTTATCTCACTCTTGAAGACAAATATTGTTGACCCCCCGCCAGTGCACACTTTGTTTTTCCATTGATGTGCCCTCTCGGGGCTCGCACCCTGTTTCTTTTATCAGGGAAGCGATTTCAGCTCGAACTGCAGTGTCGGCCCTCGGCTTGCAACAACAGCGGCCCCAGCCTGAGACTTCCTCACAAATTCTTCCAACATCGCGCTCTGCGAGGGACTTCCACCCAGACCCCCGACGTCATGATTTTTTCATGACGCGACCCCCAGAGGTCCGGACCCATTCCCCGGTACCAGTTTTTCGTCCTGAGTCGTTTTGGACGGTCCCGAGGCCCGGTGAGGGCCCCCAGAGGCCAAAAAATGGCGAAAAACCTCCCGTCGTGATTTTTTCATAACTCGAGGGGTTCTGGGCAGGAAGCATGTTGTGCCCGCTGCTGTTCCTCCAGAACGCGACCCAAGACCTCCGCACGGAGCTCCGAGGAAGCACGTCGTCTACGCCGTGTCCTGCTCTCTTCGCGAGGAGCACGCCGTCCGGCGCCGCTCAAAGGGCATCCGCGCGGGGCTCCGAGGAATCATGCCTAAGTACGCCGAGATGCATCCACGCACCCGCTGCTGGGTGTGAGACAGCTCGGCCCCCTCACTCTGATGTCTGTGCCACGTGCTGCCCTGCTCTCGACGACCGTGCTCCACTTCGCGCAGAGTGACTGCTCGCAACTGGCCTGGATCCGCCGGGGGGAAGCTGCGAGAAATTACACCGAAGCAGACATGTGTGTGTTTTTCTGATGTTTGCGAGTATAAAGGGGCCCCAGGACACACAACTAAATACACACAAATAAAAGGATTCCCCATATGTTCCGATATCTTCTGGGTTTTTGTGTTCCCCCCCACGTCCCATGTGTTCCAATATTTTCCTGAGAGTCGACGATGAATTGTGTCTGTGTGCTTCTTTCCCTTCTGAGAGTAGGCACTCTGCGAGTAGTGGAACGCGCTCGGGGCTTCTCGGCATCTATACACCACCACCGTGCCAGGCAAGGGCCATCCTGGGCCCTAGGATGGTGTATACGCCCTCCTGGCCGAGCCAGGAGGGTCTATACACCATCCTACGGCCCAGGATGGGGAGGAGGAGGAGATGGAGAAGGAGGAGGAGGAGGAGGAGGAGGAGGAGGAGGAGGAGGAGGAGCAGGTGGTTGTGTATAGATGCCTTCGTCGGAGAGTAGGCACTTTGCGAGCAGCGGCACGCGCTCGGGGATCTTCTCGGCTGCCGACCCATAGGCAGAGAGGGGCCCTCGAAGGAGCGCGACCTTCGAGGGGGCAGGGCGCGACCCGAGCGCGCAGGACGCTGCTAACCGCATCGCACGCGGCGACCACGGGCTTCGATTGAGTACAGGGCAGGTTTTAGTACATAGGATCTTTAAAACAACATAGGATTTTAATGCATGATTCATTTATGAATAGATGTATGCATGACCTCATCGTTGCATTTCTTAATTAACTCGTTATTTTTGGTACATGGTCCGAGCGCGGAGCATGTAAAAAACAGCACTGTACGCACGACGGGTCACTCGGGCGAAACGTCACTCTTGAATCTCGTCGACCTTCGGTCCTCTGCTGCAGGCTTGCCAGGTGCTGGTGCTCCTCCACCACGCGCCGCCGCCTGCCCTCGAGGTAGCGCTCGTCGAGGCCGGACTGCTCAGCGTCGCGCACGCGGGCGTGCACGGCGGGGGACCACGGCGATCCGCCCGCGGCCGCGTTCGAGTGGCACCCGCCCGCGAGGACGCAGAAGTCGTAGGGGATCGGCGGAAGAGAAAACGGCAGAGACATGAGCTTTCGGAGGTCCGCTGGACTCGACAGAACCAGCAGTGTTGTTCCCAACCACCCTGTGGTGTCGGGTCCTCGCTTTGAAGACAGTCCCCGCGTCCTTCCTTCCTTCCTTCCTCCCTTCTTTCTTCCTCCCTCCCTGCCTCTGCCCTCCGCATATCCATGTCGGCCCCTCCATTGGGGAGCTCCGCCGAAGGCCCGAGTGGCTGCTTTCGCAAACCTGGTCCACACAGCTCCGGCGCACCTATCACACGCTTCGTGGACCCATGGGAGCTCCACCGAAGGGCCCAGTGGCTGCGTCCGCATGCCTGCTTCATAACATTTCGGCGCACCCCTCACGCGCTTCGTGGCCCCATAGGGAGCTTCATCGAAGTCCTCAGTTGCAGGGATCGCGAGCGTGACCGCGCCCATTTCGGCACACCCCTCTCATATGTCGTGGCCGCCCCACAGGGAGCTCCACCAAAAGCTCCAGCGGCAAGACTCGCATGCGTGACGGCGCCCATTTTTGCGCACCCCTCACACGCTTCGTGGCCCCATGGAGAGGGAGCTCCACCGAAGGCCCCAATGGCATGCGTGACCGTGCTCATTTCGGCACAGCCCTCACGCGTTTCGTAGCCCCATAGGGAGCCCCACCGACGTCCCCGCCGCCTGCTGCCTCCAAAGGCCGCGCCGACAGACGCGCAGATCATCCGTAACAGGTTACATCCAGATCTAATTCATTACAGCTTCATCATTTTGATCGCCCCGTCCCTTAGTTTCCTCTTGTCCGGCGGCACTACCACCTGCACATGGTTGTGCCCCTCGCCAACCTATTTGTTGACATGCCACCAGCAGACGCAGCGATCACGCGGTACGACTCGCCGAGCGGACACGCCTGGTGGATGTAGCACCTGCAAGAAGCTCAGGTATCGGGCTGCGCCCCAGGGAACCCCCGTCTGGAGCGCAAGTGGCAGACCCCCAGGGGGAGAGGGAAAGGAAAAGCAGAAGGGGCAGAGTGAGAGAGAGAGGGTGACGCACACCACAGATGGCGGCGGCAACCTGCTGGACCTGCGCTGCCACAAAACGCGATCCGCGCGCCGAGGGAGGGGCCGGGAGGCCCCGGCGCCGACCCGACAGACCCGCGCGGAGCGCCGAACCTCTCTGTGACTCTGCCGCTGTCTGCTCCTCGCGGGATGGTCTCGGACTCCCGGGAGAACGCGGCCAGCACGTGCGCGCAGCACTCGTCGCCGTCGATCGCCGTGACCTCGCCCCAGATCCAGCGCACGCCGAGGTGCCGCTCCAGCACCTCGTGGTAGAGGAACGTCAGCGCCTCCCACCGCGCCGGGTCGGCGTAGGCCCGCAGCACGCCCGGGGTGAACTCGAAGTACTCCTCCGAGGGGCAGGGGTGCAACCCCAGACGCCCTCGCGCCTGAAGCGGTGTGACCGTGTCGGACGTGTTCGTGGGTTCTCGCCGGCCTTCCAGCCTCGGGATGCCTTCCAGCGGCTGCGCCTCGCCGAGCGCGTTCTGAGGGTGCCCGGATCGCCCCGAAGGGCCGCTGGAGGCACGAGTTATGACCCGAAAGCGAAACCCAGGCCCACTCGAGTCGTGACTCGTGACCAAAACTGACTACGGAAGGCTTGGGGCAGATTCGGGGCCTCCGCGGGCCCTCGATGGGCCCGATGCAGGGCCGTCGGCAGAAAAGCTTCAACACTGCTCGCGGTAAAGAGCCGGCCCTGGGAAAAGGGTCGGGACCTCTGGGGGGCGCCACCCCACAAAGACCCCAGGGGAGAGAAGAGAAAGAGGAGGAGGAGGAGGAGGAGGAGGAGAAGGAGGAGGTGGAAGAGGAGGAGGAGGTGGAGGAGAAGGAGGAGGAGGAGGAGGTGAAGGAGGAGAAGGAGGAGGAGGAAGGGGCCCAGGTCCAAACGAATCCACGCCGCGGATGTCCAGAGCTGGAGCCGAATGACTCGCGGCGTGAGGCCGCAGGGGCCTCGTCGTTGGGCGCGCTGACTGTAAAACCTTCCCCCCGAAGACACGAGGGCGGAAGGGCGTCTCGGATGCCCCGCCGCCTTCTCTGTGGGGGCCGCCTGCTCCGGGGCATCCGACGCCTCGGTGTTGCTCGAAACCCGGCCCCCGACCTCCCGACCACTTCCCAAGGACCCGTTTTTCGTTCCGATTCCTTTTTCTGACGGTCCCGAGGCCCAGTGAGGGCCCCGAGAGGCCAAACGCAAAGAAAAACCTCCGTCCCGACTTTTTGTCGAGATGCCCGACGCCTGGGCTTCTCACGTCCCGCCCAGCCCTCGCCGCCGCCCTTTGGGCCGACCGCTGAAACGCTCGCTGGCTGCGCGGGCACAGACTGTCGCGCGCGAGACGCCAGGGCACCAAAGCTCAAGCTAATTGTGCATACGATCGGCGAAGCTGATCACTCATGTGACCCAAAGATCCAACGTAGTGAAAAAACAAGACGGCGTTTTTTCGCTGTTTTTGGCCTCTCGGGGCCCTCGCCGAGCCTCGGAAGCGTCAAGAAACGACTCAGGAAGAAAAACCGGTCCTGGGGAGAGGGTCGGAACTTCCGGGGACCCCGTATTGAAAAAAAACACGACATCGGATCTCTGGGGATACAGCCGACCCGTATATTAAGGGCGCACGGGAAGGATGCAGGCCATTGTCGAGGCTTTGCGAGCGAGGCGCGGCCAGCAAAATTGGCCAAGGATGGACCGAGGAGGCAAGGATGCAAGGGTACCCTTGGGAAGGTTGCCCATCCTTCTGTTGCGGGTTGACTGTGCAGCCGCATGCCGGGGCCCAGGCGACATGGGACCACAGCTTGGAGGCCTGGTGAAAAAGATCGGCACGACGGCAGACGGGATCCTGCAAGAAACGGGTCCCAGACCTCGGGGGCGTCCTCCCCGCACGCCAGCTCCTCCTCCCGAGTCGTGCTTGGGCACTCCCAGGGCCCAGGGAGAGCCCCGCGGGCCCGAAAAAACTATAATTGTTTGGCTCGCGGGTCGAGAGCGCACCTCTTCCGGTCGAGAAGCTGAGCGGGCCGCGCACAGCTCGAATGAACAAAGAGGGGGGGGGGCAGAAGGAGGGGCCTGACGTCCAGGCCAGGAGGGGGCAAAGCCCCGGAACAACCAGGCGGTGCCGAAGACGATGTGCTTGCAAAGGACCGCCTTGGAGCGAAAAAACTACGCACAGAAAGGCGCAGGACCGGCCTCCCCCGGGCCCCCTTTTGGCTTCACAGGGGACAGGGGGAGAGCAGAGGCGGCGGAGCAAACGCAGGATCCACCATTTGGTTTCAAGCACAACCTCCACCCGAGAACGGAGCAAACCCAGGATCCACCATGTGGTTGGTTTCGAGCGCAATCCCCACCCGAGAACGCGAGGCAGGATGCCCAGGGAGCACCGTGCCGCTGGGAGCCCGACGGTCGTCGCAGTTCGCAGCCGGCCTCCGCAGAAGGCACGTGGCGGGATATCCAGGGAGCCTCGGGACCCTCGGGGCCTGGCAGGCCGCTGCATGCAGGCGCCAGTCGCCGAAGACGCGGGGCGGGATGCCAAGGGAGGGCCCCAGACCCCCTCGTGTCACGAAAAAACAGCGACGGGAAATGATTCTGCCACTCTCGGCCTCCGGCGGCCCTCGCCGGGCCTCAGGACCGTCAGAAAACAACCCGGGATGAAAAACCGGTCCCGTGGAATGGGTCGAGACCCCTGGGGATGATAGGTCGGGCGTGTCCTCCGACAGGCGGATTCTGGACGAGGTAAAAAAAAATAGTCAACGGGTCCTTAAACATAGTAAAACGTACTGTGCAAAAGTCGTTCCCAGAGTATGTTTTGACAATTTTTGAATCTTCCTCCTGTAGGGGAACGTGCCCGACTTAACCCTGGGGGTCGACGCCATGAGAAAATCATGACGTCGGAGGTCTGGGACAGGAGCCCTTGGGGCCTTGCGGCGAGGCGGGTGAGGGAGCGTTTCTGTATACACTTATCTTGAGGGGGGCCAGGGGCACACAGATAAAGACACACAGATCCCAGGATTCCCAACATGTTTTCTCGTATCTTATCTGGGTTCTCGTCGTCCCCCCACTTCCTGTGCTTTCCCACACGCTCGGGGAATCGACGATTCATTGTGTCTGTGTGCTGTTTGCCCTCCTGACATGTCTTATTCTCTCTACCAGCCTACAGGGCAGCTTTTAATGCATATGATGTTTAAGCACAAATGATTTTAATAATGATTAATCTGTGAAAAACATGCATGGACTCATCGCTGATTCTAGTACTGAATCCCTGCATTTTTAATACACGATCCGCACGCGGAGCATGTAATTATTAAAAACGGCACTGTAAGATCCAAGGTGCTGGGCCGGGAATGCCACGCCGCTGAAGGACGGCCAGAGGCCTCCGGGCAGAGGCGACGGATCGACACGCCGAGACGGGCTCCCAAAACAGGGCGGCGCGTCGTGGACGCCGTGTGTTGGCGGCGCGCACAAGGGGGTGGGGGGAGGGGGGAGGGCTTCTTAGAAGCAAGCTGCTTCTTAGAAGGCGCTGGCCTTACATCTATAGATAAGGCCCGCGCCTTCTAAGAAGCAGGGGTGCTTCTAAGAAGCCCTCCCCCCTCCCCCACCCCCCTCTGCGCGTGGCTGACCTGTATTTTTCCTCCCCCCGTCTGCGAAGGGGGAGCGATCGAGCGGGACCAGCTGCGGAGAAGGAAGCGTCGACTGGGGATCGGCGACGCCTCGCCGATACCTAGAGATCCAACGCAGTGGAAAAATCAAGACGCTGGTCTTTCGCGGTTTCTGGCCTCTCGGGGCCCTCGCCATGCCTCGGGACCGTCAAACAACGACTCAGGATGAAAAACCGGTACCGGGGAAAGGGTTGGGACTTACGGGGACCCCGTATTGAAACAAAAACGCGACATCGGATCTCTGGGTACATGGGCGATCGGCCAACGATGGCGCAACTGCACGTTCCTCGGCTGGACGGGCCAGTGGGGCCCGATGCAGCAACCCCTGAGCATGTCCGCACATAACGTTGCCCCTGACCACTGCGCCTGGTGGTTTTCTGGCCATAACTCGGGCCTCAGGCGACCGTTCGAGACGATCCGGGCACCCCTGGAACGCTGACGGCGAGGCGCAGCTGCTGGAGAGCATCCCGAGTCTGGAAAGCCGCCGGGAACTGACGCAACTGTCCCAAAACCTCAAACTCCGAACCTCGGAACTTCGTCCATCCCCCAGGGAACCTCCCTGGGCCAGCCCCCCCCCCAGAAACAGTGCGCTCTTGGCGAGACGCAGCCGCTGGAAAGCATGCGGGGCAGGAGCCTCCGACAACCGACCCTCGACCCGAAACCCTCGACCCTCGACCAAGGACTAAGGACACTCGACCCTGGACCCTCGAGCCACGAGCAGCCGCTGGAAAGGCCAGAAACCCTCGACCCTCGACCGAGGACCTGCCTCCGAGCCTCCTCCCGCCGAGGCCCACGGCCCCGGGGAGTCTCTCCTTCGCGTCCACCACGGCCACCCGGAAGTGCCTCCTCCGGAGCAGCCCCAGACGTCGGGCGTCGCGAGAAAAAATCGGGACGGAGGCGTTGCGTCGTTTTTGTTTGCCTCTCGGGGCCCTCGCCAGGCCTCGGGAGCGTCAAGAAAGACTCGGGGCGAAAACCTGGTCCCGGGGAAATGATCGTGAGGTCGGGGGACCTTGTTTGAACAAATCGAGACGTCAGATGTCTGGGACAACTGCACGAACTTGATTTCCCAAAAGGTCCGCGCAGATTTCTTGGCTCTGCGCTGGGCTCGGAGTGCGCCAGGGGTGGCGCCATGAGCTTGCGCCGGGCGGGCCCAGCACCGATCTGAGAAATCCGCCCGACACCGGGGAGGAGGAGGAGGAGGAGGAGGAGGAGGAGGAGGAGGAGGAGGAGGAGGAGGCTGGACATAAGCGTTGTTTTTCGTTTTGGCTTCGGTTCGTTGTTCGTTTTGCTCTGCTGCCCGTGTCCCTGTAACTCCCCGCCGAAACGAAGCACGAGGCACGGCCGAAGTCCAGCAGAACAGCGCTCAGGTCCAGCCCCGACTCACAGCAGCCCGCAGCTGCAGGTGCGAGTGAGGGGCGGGCGCGGGGTGCGTCGCGGGTGGGTCGAGGGTGGGTCGCGGATGGGTCGCGGGTGGGTAGCGGGGGGGGGGGGGCGACGTCAACACCACCAAACAACAAACAAGCAAAAC